GTTCGTGAGTTCGAGCCCCGTGTTGGGCTCTGTGCTGACAGCGCGGAGCCTAGAGCTACGAGCTCTGTGTCTCTCTCTCTCTCTGTTTGCCCCTCCCCTGCTCAGGCTCTGTCTCTCTTTCTCTCTCAAAAATAAATAAACATTAAAAAAAAAAGAAAAAAAAAAGAAACGTAACTCCATTCACACACACCTACCCTTTCTACTTTTCCTCCTGTCAACATGGAAAATACGTACTTTCTCCTTCTGAGGCTAATTATGACATTTGTCCCCTTTTCCTACCCTCCTGAGCGCTCCACTCGATCTTCTATCCTGTCTCTTATATTTTTAACCTCTCCGTATCCACAGCCTTCTTTTTATCAACATTTAAACATATGTACAATTGACCCTCAGACAACACGGCGTTAGAAGTGCTGACCTCTCCCTCCCGGCGCCCGGAGTCAAAAGTCCACCTATAACTTTTGGCTCCCCAAACACTTAACCACTAACAGCCTACTGTCGACCAGGAGTGTTACTGGTAACACAAGCAGTCAGTTAACACGCAGTTTGTACGTGATGTGTATTAGGTACCGTAGGCTTACAATCAAGCAAACTAGTAAAAAGAAAATGTGATTAAGAAAAACATACAGGAGAGGGGCGCCTGGGTGGCTCAGTTGGTTAAGCAGGCGACTTCAGCTCAGGTCATGATCTCACAGTTCGTGAGTTGGAGCCCCATATGGGGCTCTCTACTGTAAGCTCTGAGCCCACTTGGGATCCTTTGTCTCCCTCTCTCTCTGCCCCTCCCCCACATGCATGCACTTTTGTCTCTCTCCAAATAAATAAATAAACATTAAAAAAATCATAAGGGAGAGAAAACACACTTACAGTATGTACTGTAATTACTGAAAAAACATCCATGTGTAAGCGTACACGCCCTGCTCACACCTGTGTTGTTCAAGGGTCAACTGTGCAAACATCTCCCATCTTCAAGACGATTCTCCCTTAACTTCATGAACCAAACACCTCCAGCGACTGTACTCATTCACCTCCTCTTGTCGGCTAAACTTCTTCAAGATGTCTACACTTACTGCCCACTTGCTGCCCACTTCTGTTTAATTCCCACCCTGCTATTTTCCTGCAACTTCTCTCACTAAAATGACCCCAAATTCCTTTGTCGTTAAATCCAGTGGACACTCAGTCTGCACGTTATCGGACCTTTCAGTTCTATTTGACACTGTCGTCCATTCCCTTCTTGGAACCTTGGCTTCCTTGATATCTCACTCTCTTCTTCCTATCTCTGTGCTGCTCCTTTCCACTTTCCTTCTCAGGCTTCTCTCCCTCTGCCCTTCCCTTAAACGGCGGGCTCCTAGAGTTCTGTCCTAGCCCCCTTTTTTCTGCTTGCCTCACTCTATCCACTCGCCCCATGAATCTTACCCACGCCTATTGTTTCAGCTAATAACTAGGTGCAGAAGAACCTCATGTATACATTCCCATCTGAGCTCCAGACCCACACAACCAATTATCTAGAAGGCATTTCTACTTCGATGCCTCACGGGTACCTCACATCAGATATATTCAAAAATTACCTTGGCAACTTCCGCTCAACCCCCTTCCAGGTAAAAAGGCATTCTCGTGGAGCTGCCCAAGTCAGGAATTTACCAGTGTTCCTTGACTCCTTCCTCCCTCTCTCTCCCGTTAACTCCCTCCTAAATGTTTCACACTCGGAACAGCCTTTCCCCAATCTTGCTCCCTTCCCATCCAGGGTGATACCCTGGAAGAAAAGGCCACAGTTATACTGACCAAATATTTGCTGTAGTTAAGTTTAGAAGTGGGCTCCAAGCTTCCTGTCAACCCAGTAAAAATGAAGGAAAAGTAATCTTCATAGTTTGTAATCCTCGTTCTAAGGCTAACACGTTACTCTAAAAGAAATTTCTCAGGAGGAGATTTATATAGGGAGCAAAATGCGATGAAATGGACAATGTTCTCAACGGCATCCCTGTGATAGATCCTATAATTTCACTCGGCAAGTATTTTTGGAGTACTTACTATGAACCAGGCTCTGTGCTCACCATTGCACATAAAACAAGTGAATGTGGTTATTTCTTATCTAATCTCATGATGAAAACCAATTTGGGCATCATGTTAAATGCCACTGTCTGCACACAATTTGGTGGGTTTCCCAAGCCATCCCTGCCTGATAGTAAAACTGGGGTCACAACAACAGCAGTTCAGTTCGTCCACCTCCTCCCCTCTCCCCCCGGGGCCATCCCCAGACCCTAGGGCATGACTTCACGATGTCTAGCCTTTCCTTTAAACCGCAGCTCACTTAAAAAAAAAAAAAAATTATAAACAAACAAACAAATGGCACTTACCAGCAGTACCAGCACCACCATGCATCACGTACTCAATATTTATAGGACTCCCCAAGAGTTGTCGCATATGTGCTGACAAACAGTGCTCTCAGCCACCACACAGAATCTGTCATTTTCCAACCTAACCTGCTCTGGCTTCCTGTGGAGATCCACTGCTAAGATATCCCCAGTGCAGTCACCCCAACCACACATGTGTGTCCCGGCCAATGTGTGTGTCCCGCTGCTCTTGCTTAAATAGGTCGAAGGTGCTGCTCCTGATGCTTGACAAACTTGTGCTGAGGCTGCCAGAGTGGAGGGTGTGGGCTAGGGTGGCCTGTCCATTGTGGCCGAAGGTACTGGTTCCCAGATGCCAACGTTACATCATCTTAAAGCTTACCCTGATGTACTGAAGCTGCCGAAGCTGTTCAAATTATCAGGGTCCTTCCGCACAAGAGTTGTACCATGTTTTGCCATGCTGTGGAGAACAGATATCTCTAACTACGGGGATTATAGTTTCCAAAGCAGTGTTGTCTGGCACTCCCGGGGCCTATAGAAAAACAGCTTTCAGTTTGTACTCACATCAGGATGCACAATAAGACTTTGAAGAGAGTCCAACCAGGCAGGGGTGAGGCCAGGGGGAAAACTGTGACAATGAGCCCGTTCCAAAATCACCCTTCCCCCATAGTAGGGTATTCATAACCTGGCAGCTTGCTGAACAAGCTTAGATCCAGGTCAGAAGTCATACTCCATAAGTATGTTGTCTTCAGATTTGGCCCAGTTTGATCCAGGACTAAAAATCAGGATTTAGGAACTGGTTAGATGGCCTATATTCAGAGTCTTCTCACACAGGTCTCTCCTCTCAACTTGACCTTTGCCTTCAGACACAGCTGGTTCCATTATGTTCTGTTGTCAAGATTTAGAACCCAGGCTTGAGGCAGTCCCATATGCAAGAGAAACCAGACCAACAGGTGCTTACAGGTCACACTGTCCTTTGTAAATTAAGGTGTTTAGTCACTGGGACACTCACAGGCAGGCCCTGGATTTTTCCACAAGAAATATGGATATAAGTGAGCTTAAAGTTCTACGTGTATGCGACAACTTGGGCCTCTTTGAATTCAGAAGGGCCCGTTTAATCTTTAATCTTGGTAAGTGAAGATTAAATATAAAACGCCTAGTGCCATCCTTCGCAAGGGGTGATCACTCAGTAAATTGGTGTCTGGGCTCTTAGCCTCACAGACCCCAGCTTCCAGGACGGAAGTGTCCTACACGCCTTAGACTCAAAATTATTCCCCTCTATCACCCAGTTCTACCCCAGTCTTCTCTTTTCCTACCTTATCGGCCAGGCAAAGTCGCGGATTCATTCCTACCAACTACATTGACCACCCAGTCCCGGAGACTTGGACCCTCAGCTGCTGGGGAGCGAGATGCAAAGTCTGGGGCAAGAAATTACCTCCTAGCAATGAGCCCGCCGCGCGCAGCCTTGTGGGAGTTGTAGTTCTCACAACCCAGAGCCTCCAAAGAGGCGTCACCGCGGGACTCGTTTTCCCGTGCTCCTCGGCGCGGGTCCACTTGGGACTGGTCCCTGAGTGGTTGCAGTGGTAGTGTGCGAGCTTGCTGACCGAAAAGTGGAATCCGGTCCCCTGTGTTCGTGGAGTCTCAGCCGCCGAGGATCTCAGGGCTGGTTCCCGTCCCTTCGGAGCCCCGGAGGCCAAACTGGGATTACAAGTTTAAGGTTTCCTAGAGGGCGAAAGATAAGGAGCCGACCTCCCCCCCCCCCCCCCCCCCCCCCCCCCCGCTGCGGTGTCTGCTGCGGGAGCGGCCAACCCCTACCCGAGTTAAAACTCCCGGGGAGTCTTCGCTGTTCCCACCTCCGCTTCTCCCGCCACGCTCCCACTTGGGGTTCCCCCCACCAGGGCCGCGAGTCGCCGCGGTCGCCGCAGCTTGGCTGGGGGCTGGATGTGCGCCCCCGCGGATTCCCGGGAATCTGGAAGCTGCCGCTGAGCCGCGGCGCGGGCGGAAAGTTTGTATTCGCCCCGTGCAGCCTCACCCCTCAGGGGCGTCCACCATGATCACCCGTGTCTTCAGCGTGCGCGTGTGGGCCCCGGTGGGCGTCTTGACTTCGCTGGCGTATTGCGTCCACCAGCGGCGGGTGGCCCGGGCCGAGACCCCGGGGGCGCCTGGCCAGCGTCCCGTCGACCGGAGTCTCCTGGAGTTGAAAATGGTGCAGGTCGTGTTCCGACACGGGGCGCGGAGTCCTCTCAAGCCGCTCCCGCGGGAGCAGGTGAGAGGTCGGCCGGGGCCGGTACTGGTGGGGCAAGGACCGGGGCGGTCGACCGCAGGCGGACCGGGTGCCTGGCCCCGAAACACACACCTTGGGAGTTTTACCCTCATCGAGCGGGATTCCGGCTGGATCCAGACCAGAGGAAAACTGCAGTACCTTGAGCAGAGGGGCTGGCCTGGCACTGCTAGCCGCCCATCCTCCTCGTACCCTCTGGATGTTGGGCACCCCGGATGTTGGGCACCCCGGGGACTTCTAGTTGTAACCCCTGATTGATGGCAGTGGTGTAGCACAGTTGGTAGCACTGCGCTGCTTGGAGGGCTTAGAAATCTCCTAGGGATCTTGTTCAAATGAAGATTCGAATCCAGCAGGTGTGTGGGGTAGAGCCTGAGATGCTGCATTTCTAACAGGTACTTGGGTCAACTTGAGAATGAAAGTGTAGTGCATTTCTGTGTGACTGTTTGAAGGTTGTCAAGAGTTGCAGGAACCCCCATAACTGGGATTACAGCGGGTAGCAGAGGTCAACATCTTTGGAAACAGGTATCACAGCGGCTTTCAGTTTGCTGGAGATCATTTGAGATCCTTGAAGGCTTTTTTTTTTTTTTTTTTTTTTTTTTTTTTAAATAAGTGCTGTATCTTGGGTCTTATTTTCTATTTTTGGGTTTCTAAAACTATCGTGGAAGGGATTTGAGGTAGGAAAACATTTTTAATTGGCTAGTCCTGTGTTTATAATGTCTTAAAATCTACCAGGTTTGGCCAGGGTAATTATGACTAAAGCACAAATAGTTTCTATTTATTTATTTATTTTAAATGTTTGTTTATTTATTTTGAGAGAGAGAGAGAGAGAGTAAGCAGGAGAGGGAGAAAGGGAGAGAGCATCCCAAGCAGGCTCCGCACTGTCAGCCGCAGAGCCCCACAGGAGGCTGTAACTCACAAATTGGGAGACCATGACCTGAGCCAATATCAAGAGCCTGAGCTCAATTGGCTGACCCACCCAGGAGCCTCTAGGTGTTTTTTGTTTTTGTTTCTTTTTTTTGTTTGTTTGTTTTTTAATGATTAACCTTCCTGGATTTGATTTTTGGAGAGAGGCAGTTGAGGTCTCTGGCCTTTGGTGCAAGCAGGCCTGTAATTGAAGAACTGGCTTCCCAGCGAAGATAAAGAGGCAGCCTGAAATCCTCAGGCCCCCCAGCTGTCACACTTACCTGTGGAGTGCTTTTGCATTAATTGGTCCTCCAGGCTGATGTTGGAGCAAGTTCAATAGATGTCTAAACCTCATATTTGGCATTCTCTTCATGATCATCGTTGCTTTCCAGAAACCCTTAGGGTTGTGTCCTCACAGTGTCCAACTAAAAATCTGGTTTTTAAAGCTGGCCACACATGAACTCAAACCTTTAAAGCACCTCCCACATGAATAAACAAATTTTGGCAGGCACTTAATTCTGCTACCAGATTTCTAGTTAGCCTTTCTGAATGGCTGTACCACTTTCCATCTGGTATTGGAATTTCTTTTTTCTCATCTTCCCTCCTCCCCCGCCCACCCCCACCCCCACCGTTCCTTCCTTTCTTTTTGATGCTTTTTCAATCCCTTACTCTCCCTTTTTTTATTTTTACTAAATCTTCCTTGTGACTTTTGCACATCGCCCATCTCATGTGCACTCCCCCCTTCTTCATTTATTCTTGTTACAGAAAGGCTGGAAAGTAACATAGGGATAGAAGACTCATCACGTTAAAGACAAAGCTATCAGTGGTAGCAGAGAATTAAAGTCTGAGTGTCTAGGCTTGGGCCTAATATATACCGGATATATACTCCCTTAAGGCCTGAGAAAGATTTAGATTCTTTTAGGACTTCTTCCTGAGCTAGCGGGGGTGTGATGGCTACCTTCTGCCATTCTGTTGGAAGGCGCAGTTTGTAGCTCAGGTAGAATGCCAGCTTCATTCTCTTCGTCTGTGTAGCCACAAAGTAAGAAGCATCTGAGTCCATGGCCTCCCTTTGCAGTTAGGGAAGGCACGTCACCTCCTGCCTGCTCACATTCTCCAGACATCAGGCCAATGCATTAAACATCTTCGATTAGCACAAATGCCAGGGGTGGGACCAAACCTCTTTCCATTTAGGCTGTGAGCCTGTGTCTTTGGCTCCCTGTAACTTGTTTCTGGATGATTTCTCTCAGGTTTTCTTTTCAAGGTCCAGTTTGATAACGGTTGTTATTGGGATTTTCTAATCTTCCTGGTTCTGTTACTAACTGTAGTCAGAAGGGACCACCTGGTAGCAATTCTAAAACGAAAATTGCCTTTGGTAGATGTTTCCAGGCTTGTGACTGGTTAATGGATGAATACAAGTGACAAGTCACTTCATTCAGTTATCTCAGAAATCTTCAGAGAGCAGCATTGTTTAAAACGAGGTGTGTTATTGAGTTGTTTTCATTTGGCTTGAATGGCTGTTGACTTAATTTGTCTTCCTTTAGCTGTGCTTGGGAATATAAGCTCTGGAACTTGGTTGGCTATTTTTTTCTGATCATGAGATTCGACTCAAGTACATATTCACAAGATAAGTGTGGCCCTGCTTTCAGATTTCCCTTAGTTCACCTCTAGGCAAGATGGCCTCCAACTCAGGCAGGTTCCTCCAGTTTTTATAAAGTAAAGTCTAGCTTATCTCAGTTCCACTGTTGATTAAGGCATTTGGGTTCCTATTTATTTGGTAATGTAGGCCAGCTGGAAGGCGTACTGTTAGTCTAATTGTTACTCAATACTTACCCAGAGCTCAGCTAAGAGAAGCACTCACTATTCAGGAAGCGTGGCATGAAGGATGTGCCCATAGCCCCATTCATTCCTCTGGAGCAGTGTTCATGACTGCTTGTTCTTGGAAAGACTTTGGACTCCGATGGGGAGCTTTCAAAAATATTGATGCCTGGGTGTCCCTTCTGGAGATTCTGATTTAACTGGCCCAGAGCATCCAGACATGGCAACATTTTCTCTGGTGGAGCTTTAGAATTATCTGGACTGGATAGCATTAACAAAGTTGAGGCCCCATCCCAGGAGATCCAGATGTGATGAGCTCAGGACGGGGCTGTTTTGTTTTGTTTTGTTTTGTTTGTGATGCCAGTGTGCAGCCAAGGTTTCAAACCACCGCTTTATTCTAAAATCCACACCTGGAAGGGTTTTGTTTACTTTTATGTAGATTTTGTCTTTTACCTCTGGAATGTAGCATATCAATCCTGGTATAGTACTGTCTTCACAGAAATGTGCTTTGGTGAGATGCCATCATTCTGTGTTGAGAAAACTATGAGAAACAATCCCACAGAACTCGTTGCTGTGACTAGTGAAAAGATGTTCATTATATTACTCTATCCTCTTTATGAGGACCCTTGGGAGGAATTTGTCTGTTCGCATTAGAAGTGGTGTGCTTCTCCTGAACAGTTGGCTTGCTTTTATCTTTAAGCTTGTCTAGCTGATCGAGTTTCTCCCTTCATAAAAGCCAGAAAGCTTAGCGCTGAATCTTTGGCCCACCTACAGTGAAATCCGTGGGTCTTTAGAGTGTACCTTTTTGAGAAACTTTATTTCCGTATCCAGTTTTTGTCCCCATACTTGTTTGCTTTTGTCTTTCTTGCCTACTTTGAATGGGTTGTCTTACTCTGTTTTAGGTCTTGTTATCCTCTCCTTTAAGTTCTTAAAAATGGGGCATAAATAAGTAAGATTTTAAAGTTAGTCTTTGCCATGAACTCGGAAGCTGAAGAGCAGGAACAAGAATGAGAGTGTGTGTGGTGGGGGGGGCACGGTTAGACACCATGTACGGAACTAGTGTATCGTGTAGTCTTAAAAATTTGAAAACGTGCATTGTAGATTTGGCATGAACTGGCCAGGAGTCATCTCTTGGGAAACACCAAAGATCCTCTGTTGGTGAATGTTGCTAATAAGAGGAGATTTCTTAAGTGAGGCTGAATAGACCCTGTGGACTTGGTATCGGAGCCTGTGCTAGACAATGGCCTTACCAGGATGGATAATTCAGTCTCAGCTGTAAAAGAATTTTAAGATGTGCTAAAGGAGAAAGAAAAGAGATTCCTATGCTGGGAGCCCTGGGAACGCAAAGAAGGTACCTCAGACTTAAAACCGAACTCAGTTTGTCTGTTCTTCTGCGTTGGCCTTAGTTTTAGTCGAGGAGGACCTCTATTACCCTTGTCGCCTTAGGAACCCAGGCTCAAAACCAACGTAATTTCTTTCTTCAACCTTCCTTATTTACCTACCAACATAGCCCCCACATAAAGCTTTTATCCACTCACTTGCCAGGTTTGACTCGAATCTCTAGCATCCACCCCTTCTATTCCTACTGCCTTAGATGGGGCCTTAGGCCCTCCTCTAGTTGGCTTCTGCATCTAGACTTCCCATTCTAGTTATGATCTATGCTGCTGGTTGTCAAGCTATTCCCTGGAGCCTGTGGCGTCAGAGGGTCTGAGGGGCTAGGGCTCTGTGTTCCCACTCCTGCTTCAACTAGAGGAACTCCAGTTTTTGCCTTTGTATGTGGAAATCTAAAGTTAAACTCTACTTGGTATTTGCTAATTAAAAATTTTGTGGGGCGCATGGGTGGCCCAGTGAGCTGACCATCTGACTCTTGATTTCGACTCAGGTCATGATGTCGCATTTCGGGAGTTTGAGTTCTGCATCGGGCCCTGCACAGACAGCGTGGAGCCTGCTTGGGATTCTCTGTCCATCTCTCTCTGTCTCTCTCTCTGCCCTTCCCTCTCTCTTTCTCTTTCTGTCTCAAAATAAATAAATAAACTTAACAACAACAAACTGGGCTGTTATTTAAAAAAAAAAAGTTTCAAAACTCGTCCCAGGTTGAAGCAAATCAAACCACTTCTTTCCTACATGGCATTCTTGGCCATCTCTGCTTCGCTCAAGCTTCTTCCTATTCTTGGAATTCTGAATACCAGTCTCTCCTTACCCACCTTTCACTCTCAAGTCCAGGTCTTTGCTTTTCTAAATCGTCTTCACTTCAAAGGCCATCCCTTCATGAAACTTTTCCTGAATCCCCAGCCAGAAGAGGTCTGTCTCTCCTTTGAACTACTGTGACCCTCATCTGGTGTCTTGTGGCACACAGTTTCTGTTTTTGGTGCTGCCGTCATTTCCATTCTAGCTTGCTATCTCTGCTAACCCGAAAACCTAGAAAAGGCAGGATCATGCTATCTCAGTCTTGGTTTCTTCCACAAGGTATGGCAGATCATCTGTGTACGGGCCCTTTGCTGGGCTTCCAAAATGCAAGGGTAAATCGATGACCCAATCTCTCTTCTCCGAGCAGGACTGCTGAGCAGGACAGACTAGTAAGGGAGCTCTTCTAATACGGTTTGGTAAAGGCCACCAAAAAGAGCCACCGAGGCTACTTTGAGGCCATGGGGCCATTGTCACAGCTCCTGGGAATGTTTAAGCCGTCTTGCGGAATAAGCAGAAATCTTTTCAGGTGAAAGGGAAAAGAAAATTCCAGGTAGAAGGAACATGAGGTTGAAAAGCTAGGAAGTTCGAGGACGGTGCTGTAGAAAACAACGTTGTGTGGCTAGAAAGTAAGTGTGGAGGGCAGGGAAGAAATGGTGAAGAGAGAGAAGGAGAGGCGGGGGCCATCATGCAGCTGTGAGCCCCGGAAGGGTTTTATGCAGGCAAGTTACAGGATCAAAACTTTGGAAGGAGGAGCCATAGTTACAGGACAGTAAGAAGAAGGTCTGTGCTCTGAACACCCAGTCTTCTGATGTCAGTTGCTGCAGCTCCAGTGGGGGAAGAGGCCCAGGTCTGGAGGACTGGCTGCAGGTGGGACTAAGACAATGTCCTTTGAAAGATGGAGGGTTTCCTTTGTGTGAATGGAACCTGGGGTCCCCCCCCAGTGGTGCTCCCCTGGGCTATTTCTGGGAGGGGCCAAGATAGATACAGTGCTACAAGACATAGTAAGTTTTCAAATGTTAGTTTTAAAAGGAATAGGAAATCGCATAGTGGGAAATTGAGTTAAATGATCTTGTGATTTTAAGTGCTACAGGTCTCCCGCTCTCTCTTCACCATTTCTTCCCAGCCCTCCATACTTACGCTCTAGCCACACAACGTTGTTTTCTACAACACCGTCCTCGTACTTTTAAGAAGACAAGCACTAAAAGCTAGAGTAGTCACTGAAGGGAAGTAAGACTTGAGCTATCATTGGACCTTGAAGAGAAGCTGGATGGGCAGGAGTCCCTCCGAGCACAGGAAGCAAGTTGAAAGAAGATGCAGAGGAAGCAGTGGGCATGGTCTGATCTGGGGACGGGAGGAGAGAGGCACAGTGACACTATAGCAGGGGACAGGGGCTCGGCCGAGGTGTAGGAGTCCTGGAATGCCAGGTGCCTATCTCTTGAAACATTAGGAAACAACTATTGACATGATGAAAGTGGCTTAGCAAGATTAATGGGGGGCAGGGAATTGTATCTATGTATGGATTGTGGGGGTGGAGGGAAGGGAGTCAGTCACATGCTTTTGCCTGAGGTAGTAAGGTTTTACACTCTTACCAGATAAAAGGAGGACCTTCGGGAATGACTTTTTTCCTAGCCAGTGATCCATAGAGTTTAGTGCGGCTGGTGGAGTAGTGGGGGAGAGTCAGAGGTTTGAGTTTTGGGGCCTAGGAGACCTGTGGCATCATTGCGAGCGACGTAATGTGTTCGGGAGAGGAGCTGGCATATGGGAAGAAGAAAAGATTTTCGTTTTTAAAATTGGAGTCATCACATCTGACTCAGCGAGTGTAAGAGTTTCATGGGCAGTTGGAGCTCTGAGACCTGTGGCTACTGGGGATGTTTTGGAACCGTGACAGTAGAGCGGAGCAGGAGCCAGACTGCAAGGAGAAAAGGAAGATGGTGAAGAGGTGAAGAAGGGGCAGCCCCTTGTTTGAGAAACTCGATGAAAGGAAGGCAAAGGGACATTAGGTATCCTTAAGGATACCATAATTAGGACATCATGTATCCTTGAGGGCAGGGGAGGCATAGAAACCTGGAGGTTGATTCCTGGAAAAATCTTACAAGTGTCTGCTCACTGAGGTCATATTATTTTCATTCATTCATTTGTTCATTCATTCATTCACCAAGTATTTGCATGCCAGGCCTTCTGGTGACTTCTCCCCTTTACTGCAGTCTGGGCTTAGTGCCAGAGCAGCGTCTTAATAGCCAGTGCTAGTGGAGCAGTAACAGGGCTTGGGCTGAGGGTACCCGGAATAATAAATTACTGTCTTTCCTTCCTTTAATTGGAGCTAGAGTTAAAGCTTCTTTCTTTCCTTCCCATGGGAAGGTTGTGAGTCTAGTGTCTGTGATCCCAGCTATGTCTTTCAGGTGCTGCTGGATATTAATGCTGTAAGTTTCAAGAACCTTCTAAACAATGTGTTGTTTTTTTGTGGTCATAACAGGCAGAGTGGAATCTCCAGCTATTAGAGGTCCCACCCCAAACTCAGTTTGATTACACTGTCACCAATCTAGCTGGTGGCCTGAAACCACATTCTCCTTTCGACTCTCAGTACCGTAAGACCGTACTCAAGGTGAGCATTGCCTCCCTGCCCTGGGAAGCCCCCTGTAAAGTTTCCATGGTTTTCTCTGGGCTGAGTTTAGCAGACGGGGAGGTATTTTCATGCTTCTCTTTCTGCCCCGCACCAGGGAGGCATGTTTGCTGGACAGCTGACTAATGTGGGCATGCAGCAGATGTTTGCCCTAGGACAGAGGCTGAGGAAGAGCTATGTGGAGGACATCCCCTTTCTTTCACCAACCTTCAATCCACTGGAGGTCTTGTGAGTCACTCGTAAAAGGGACGTGGCTTCCATTTTAAGATCTTACACATGAGGAAACCTGTACTGACCCCCCAGGATGGTGCCCATTCTCACCCAAGGTAGTTTGGGGCAGTTCCCCTTATATAACAGCATCCTGTGAACATGTGGTCAGTGGAGATCACGTTCATTGGCTTTTGGGTCCCTTGGGGCACCCATCCCTCAGAGAAAGGATTCCTCCCAGTCCCATAGCCCCCCTCATGTGATCTTAAAGCCTCCCAGTTGCTCTGTAGGATGAGACAGTGTATAGAATCAAATCTTCCTTTTTTGAGTGTCTCTACCTTTTTGTTTTTTTCCAGTGTTCGTTCCACTAATATATATCGGAATCTGGAGTCTACCCGATGTTTGCTGGCTGGGCTTTTCCAAAGTCAGAAAGAAGGTTTGAGTTTGGAGTCTAGAAGTCTGCCCTGTCCCTGAGGAGCTTTTTCTTCTTCCTTCCAAAGCCCTCCCGCCTCTCTTTCTTAGTGCGTGTTCCTTCGGTTTCTCTTCTCCTGCACACGTGGCTTCCATGGCATGCCTACTCTGGTGGGCCCTCGCTTGTCTGGCCTCCTGCTGGCCTTGCCGGCCTGACCTCCACCTCCACGGTGATGTGTCAGCCACTCTGATGTGCCTCTGGCCCCTGACTTCTCCTCTTAAGCTTCTACACAGGCTGCTTAAGGCATCCCCAGCCAGGTCTTGTGAATAATACTGGGGCTTTTTGCTTAGGTAAGACACCGCTGAAAAGGAGGGAGGGCAGGAGGAACACTTAGCCGAGACCCAAGCCTGCTGCCATTGGCTTGGTCTTGGTGTTAACCCACAGCATGACTCAGATGGTATTAACAGTATTCTGTTCAGCCTTTCCTCACTGAGAAAGTCTATTGAGTTTGGGTTTTAACATGTTCAACCGGTGAGTGATTGCAGCTAGTGTTGCCCAGCCTTTTCACCACCAAGGACCACGTGTTATTTTCCCTCATGGATCTTATGTATTGAGGGCCTTTGACTGTCAGAGGGACCTTCATTTTGCCATTTATACTTGACTGAAATTTACATGTAATTGCCAGTCTGAGTTTCATATCCTCACGACCTCACCAATATTGAAATACTAAAATGGTGCCATAAAGCAAAGGTTCTTGCTTAGCTTCTTTTGTAGTATCTCAAATAGATATAAAATTGCCATCAGGCTTATTAAAAAAAACAAACAAACAAACAACAACTATGTAAAAGAATAGAAACCTCCAGGCCAGAGGAGGCCAGCCTTACCCTAGTCGGGGTTGGATACAGCTGCTAATTCCGGCTGAAATTGGCTGCTGAGCACAAGCAGGGTGTGTCTGAGTAACATAGAGCAAACAGCGGGGCTGCCCCTTAGGAGCCCCTGAGCTTTGGAAGAGTCCACAGTGCCTGGCCTTCTGAGAGCTCTTCACTTGCCCAGCTTCTAAGAGGCAAATAAATACCCTTTCCTCTGAAACACCAAAAGTAGGAAAGCTGTTTCTTGAAAGCAGGCTGACCTACAGGCAGGTCTCGGACTGAGACTGCCCCATATTCCCAACAGGGAGGGAAGTGGTGTCACCACAAGCCGCTGGACCCACACGCCCTGGGACTCCAATTTGACCATGTCCCAAAGCTTTTTTAGTAGCTTTGTATCTACTAACTTGTTTAGTTCTTGTAATAATCCGGGGCCGTAGGCAATAGTATCCCCAATTTACAGATAAGAGAATTCAGGCACAGAGAGGCTAAATGACTTTCCCAGGAACACACAGCTGGTAAATGGTGGAATAGGGATTCAAAGTATGGCAGTCTGGCTTCAGAATCCAATACTCTTCATCTTTACACTCTGCCGCTCAGAGGACACATCTGTCTGGGGAGGGCCTCTGATCATTTGCCTGACAAAGTGTGTCTGAATTTTGATATTCTAGTAAAGTTACCATATGCTACTAGAATTTTGACTGTCACATTTTTGTTTGGGAATAATAGCTCTTTGGGGCTTAGATTCACCTAATCACCCTGTATTGATCGGAGTGAATTCCGGAGAGCTGCTGACAGCAGCTGTCTCTTTGCCATTTAGAGAAGGTCGGTCTTGAGTTGTGTAGCAAAGGAAGCTGCCACAGGCCCTTGCCATCTCTGGCACAGAGCAAAGCCTTGGAAGGTGTTAGAGCACCTTCTCTGGGTATTGATGGGAGGGGATAAAGGTACTTGTGAGCTCTGAGTAGTAGCGGGCTCCTGCGAGGTATACAGTTGACCTTTGAACATGGGTTTGAACTGCATGGGTCCACTTACGCATGGGTCCACTTACACATAAATTGTTTTTTTTTGTAAGTACAGTACAGAACTATAAAAGTATATTTTCTCTTATTAATATTTTCTTTTCTCTAGCTTACTTGGTTGTAAGAATACAGTATGTAATACATATAACATACAAAAGTTGGGTTAGTCAACTATTTATGTTATTGGTAAGGCTTCCAGTCAACAGTAGGCTATCAGTAGTTAAGTTTTGGGGGAATCAAAAATTATACATGGATCTTTGACTGCATGGGGGGATTGGTGACCTTAACCTCCAGGTTGTTCAAGGGTCAACTGTTTAATAAGAAACATTATTTGTGGTCTAACGTGTGGTTCTTGGCAGTTCATCTGGAAACCTGGCTTTCCTTTTAGGCAAGGCTGTGGGGTCTGACAGGATTTGTGGCTTTGTGGTGGCTTTCCTTAGATTGTCATGCGCTGAGTCACTATATTGGTCTATAGGATTGGACTTTAAGAGGCAAGAAAGTCACCTAGTTCTGATGGAGTCCGGGACAGCTCATTCTTTGTTAGAATGCCCAAGTCTGATCCAGGTCTGTACCTGCTCTAGTCATATGTGGCCCAATAGGAGGGGTTGTGCCAGACAGAACAAGGCTGCTCCTTGCTTTCTCCATTTCTCAGCCCATAGAAGAGCTGCTGTTGGCAAGGCCAGGGCATGTTCAAGGCAGTTACTGTCCTGAAACAGTGACCTTGATGATCTGTCTCCTAAAGCAGACAAGAGAAGGAGGGGGTGGGGATCCTGGGAGGGACAAGCTGAAGC